TGCAAGACGCCGGGCGTCGACCCTGATCCAGGGTGTGTCTACCGTAGACGATGGCGCATAGTTATACACCCTCCAGCGAGGCGGTCGCAAAAATCCGATAGCCTTGCGATCGTAGACGGAGAAGCAGAGTCGATCACAACCAACATGGGTTGCATCAATAATGAGGCACACCACTGCATTTGTGTCAGGGAATGCTTAGCTTTTTGCATTTACCAGCTTTTCCTTCAAGTCAATAAGTACTTCTCCTACGTGAATTGATAATTTATTGCCAATTTTGTACCCTATATTTTAACCTCCTTGGTGCGCTATAATCTATACTATCTAGTTTTTCTTTCGGCAGTATAGCTGCTCTGACGAAGTCCATAACACGCTAATAGTGTTTTGCTGTACTGACCAGTATTGGTAACATACGGTACCGAGCTCAACAATTTTGTTCTTTCTGGGTCGAAAATCTCATCAGCTACGGTAATGATCTCACCGCACTGCTTGGCCAACGGTCCGCATGAACTTGACCATAGTCAGCTTAGAGCCAAGATACCAGTCAGCTCAAGCAAACTTTTCATTTTGAAAGAAGTTTTTAGCATCTTCGGCATATAGTAGCGAGCAATCAATCCGATCAATGGTTATCTGTTCAGCAGTAGGTATCTCTTAGTCGTTTCTGAAGATCAAGAATTGCATCAAAAGTACCTTGTGGTACGCGTTGCGAAGTATAATTTTTTGAAATGTTAGACCAGAGTGTAATTTTTGACAAGCTCGTCCCTCAGCAAGTTGGTAGTTTCCTTCGATAAAATTAAGATCTGGCAACCTCGCGCAAACTTCACGTCAGATTGCGCGTTTAGCATGACGCCTACTATACTCATAGTATGGATAATTTATTGTGAATATATTCAAACTCCTCAAAGTTGTTGTGAAAAGCCCTTCACAAACTTGCTGACTCTGCGCCGTAGCTCTTTCGCTGAGAGGAAACTTATCAAGGTCGGTGACCTTCGTTCTATACTTAAAACCAGTACGAGTGTACCGGATCGCGATCCATTTTCTCCAAAAGTAATTACCGCCTTAAACCGAGGCTAATTAACTCTTCCCTCAGAATATAAAATTCTATTTCTCAGTTTTATTTGCGCCAAAGGCGCCTATATCTAAATCCATAGGTTTTTCTATCTATTTTTTCCTAATTAAGCGTATTAATACTGGCTGTTCCAGCCACATACTGGCTTCTTGTTTAAGTATAGCCACACCATTGTGTGGTCACACCTTTGTAACTCACACCATCTTGTGTGACCCACGCCCTTCATACCAGGGTCCGTGAAACCATTACAGACTCCATACTAATACTCTCGCCTTACATCTGCAAGATTTGGTGTCAAGAGAAACGTATCTTAGACTTCCTAACAACTATAGTATACATCCTTGTACGATTTTACAAATTCTCAATTTTTTTTATTTAATCCTGAAAATTCAGAAACCTCAAAATTTGTAAGAAATGAAGACGATTGGACCAGACCTGTGGCTCATGGGGGCTGCTAGCATTACGACTAGCAGTACAAATAGATTTATTGGAGTAAATAAATTGATTCGATATTGAATGTCGTACGTGTGCAATCATTATAGATTTCGATAGACCGATCTTCAGTATATGTCATCAGATAACAGAATGAAGTAATTTGTAACTTTAGACTCCGATTTCACTAATAAATAGAGCGTATGACCTAAATTTCTTCACGTTGGCGTCGCGGTCTTATGGAATTAAAAGCTTCATATCAGCAAGTTACCCGGATACCTCGTCGCAAGTGGTATAATTTTTTGTCAGTCCCATGCGAGGTTATAAAGGGACTCTACCCTCAGTGAAAATCGAAGGTGACGTGTTTGAACATTCGTCCTTGGATCAAGACAGAACGCTCGACATCAGCGGCTTCACGTTGGAGCTGATTGCGCATTCTCCAACGACCTTTTTTTAGAGGCGTCTCACATAATCGCCTTCAGGCACTTATTTTTATACCGGGCGCCAGGAGTGCTATCGCCACACGACCAACTAAGGACAAAAGCTCTTATAAACCGTTTCTTTCGATGGAAGGCACGAAAAAAAATCCATCTCTTTATAGGTAAAGTTGATCTCGAGATAAACTTGAGTTAGTAATAAACTTGGCATGTTCCTGACGGAGCAACAATGCGTCAAGCGTGGTGTCTTCAAATCAAGAATCTATACGCAAAAGTGGCCACCTCAGTGCTGTACCTTCGTGCATTTGCGCCCCCAATGTGAAACGATATACGTCGCGGGCGTTGTCATTGCCTGACCACGCGTGTTGGGTGGTCACGATCTATGATGCGGGCTGCCGTAGCTCTTTGCTTAGAGAAAGCTTACTAAAGTCACCGACCTTACGTTCTAAACTAGAATTAGTATGAGTGTAGCGGATCGCAATTCGCTACCTTCAAAAGTACCCAAAATTTTAACCCAAGGCAAATGTACTCTTCTGTCCAAGATTGAAACTGTATTTATCTGCTTTATTTGTGGCAGAGCCACCAATATTCGAAACTTAAAAAATATGCATCACTACTGGCAGTCCCGCCACGTACTGGCTTCTTGTTAAGGTGTAGCAACACCGTTGTATGATTACCCCGACTTGTGTATTCAACACATTTGTACGGTCACACCATCTTGTGTAACCCAACCCTTCATACCAGGTACGTGTAACCCCTTTACATTCTCCCCCATCAAAATTGTGAATACCTATACTTCAAATTAAAGTGTTGCCTCGTACGAGGCTCGCGTGTCTAAGACACCTTTACGCCCCTAGGACCTTCTTAACGTATTCTCTGCTCAATGAGCTTTGTGTCAATGACACAAAAGCACCCAGCATCGCTGGTTCCGAAGGCGCCCGCGGGCAGAGCCCATATTCGTCTTCTGCACGCGATGCAACTCCGGACAGTACGTCCGCGGCTTCACAAAAGCACATCCCACGCCCTCGGCAACTGGGCGCCGCCCACCGCGCCCGTCACGAGCGACGGATATCCTCGTTTACTGCAAAATATCTGACGCTCATTTCGAGGTTCAGAGGAAGTCGTCTACGGGATGGATACCCCTTTTTAAAGTATGAAAAGAAGAGCAGAGCGAGGTGCACCAATGGCGCGACGTGAGCCCTTCTCAGAAAATGCGAACACTGTGTCCGTTTTCCGACCTCTCGACTTCCGGTGGAAATGATATCACTAACAATCGCTTCGACGAGGTACATGAGCAGCATTTGGCGGATGCTCAGGGCGTGTCTCATGCATTCATATCCGGTGCTTGACACTCGTGTGGAATACGGCCTCCGCTCAACGGATCCCGCTACCGTAGCGAAAGACGCGGTCACTCGATCGTAAGGCGTCTACGTAGTCGGGCCCCCGGCCACTACACAAGTCTAGCTTGGCAAACGAAAAGCTCTTCGAGCTCGCATCTTGCTACCTCACGAAAACCCAATGGATAGATACCGCGCTTGAAATTGCGCTCAAAGAGGAGGCTGCTGTACCCGCAATGCGGACGATTCCAGTGGTACTTACCCCTGGCGAAACCGCTGCAGATGATGAAGAGCTCTTTGAGCGATAGGTGCAATGGCACCGAAGAGTTTCCTAGCTGTCTGAGCGGAACCGCAAGAAAGTCAACGTGCGCGTAGAACACCATCATTGATTTAAATTTTCCAAACTCAAGGCGCAACGCCGACCTCCTACGTATTGTCGCCCTGCGACATATGGAACAATCTATCACACTCCCGCGAAGTCTGTGGCTCCCCACACAGCGCAGGGTCATAGCTTGAGCTTAGCTCATGGCTCTCCGGCTTGCCGAGAAGCGCGGGGCGCACAACGACGCGAAGCGTCATGATCCTTCGAATCAAACGCGTCTATAATGTCTGGACAGTCTTGCCGGAGTGGTACCTCAAACTCCCAAGAATTCTCGGAGTTTGTGTATCCCGCCAATTCACAAGATATTGGGTTAGACCCTGTCGACGACGTCGATCCTAAAGGCGTTCCACGTGATAGTGGACGCCACCGTTCCCGTCGAGAAGAGTCGGCGCGTGCGTCGACGACTTGGTCGATCGCCATCCGGTGATTCGCGATGCTTTTCGAGCGTTGAATACAAAGTCCATCTTCATAGGCACTTCGCCGAGCATCTCTTAGAGGTCGCATAACGCTGTGCGGAAGACCTCGAGGGCCTGGGCACATTGTGCACTGACTGCCTCACGTTGATCTATCGCACTCTGTCGAATCGGCTCCTAGCCGTCGAGCAGACGAACGCGTCGCTTCGTGCGACGGTAGAGTGCCTGAAGCCGTTGGAAACGGAATTTGTTGCATTCCGTGTTCAAAACCAGTTGCTAGTTCATCTTTTGGGTAGCCGAGCACCTTTGGAAGCCGACCCGGCGCCAACGCTTCCGCATTCTCTAGCGCCGGATCCCGATACTACTTAACCAAGCCCACATAGAAACACCGGGTTGTTCGCATCCTTCTCGGAAGGCTTAGCGCAGAATTCAAGGCCACGCATGACCACGACCCCTAAAAGGTCCGATAAACCGTGGATGGAACTTTTTCGTAAAGTCAAGAGAAACTGTATGGATAGGAAGGTTTCTAGCGTTGAATAAAACCAGGTCTCCGACCTCAAAGCTTTCAACATTTCTTCTGCTTCTTCCATCCGCATATTGTGTCTCCATATCTTGCTTTTCAGCCATCGCATCGCGAACAATTCTTAGGACATTCAGTCTGGTAGACAGATAGTCATCGACTGTTTTAATGATAGTGAGGGGCTGACATCAGCTAGCTGTTTGACTATTCCCCCCACCAATTCCTGAGACATGGGATGGCGGAACGCGAGGATAAACGAGCCCGTTCACGTAGAACGGCGTGGGGTCGGTAGACGCATGCACCGCATTGTACAGATCAAACCTCACAAGTAGCAGCAAGGCGCTCCAGCGCTTTGGCGTCTCAACACAGACGATACAAAGAATGTCTTCAACGACGCGATTCACGTGCTAAGTTTGAGCATCGGTCTGCGGATGGTTCGCTGTTGACATGACCAAGTTGGTACCCAGCACCCTGAAGGTTGTCAACAAATACTTCCAAGTGAATCGTGGGTCACTGTCAGAGACAATCGAATCCAGGAGTCCATGTTGTCAAAAGAGACGATCGACAGACAGCGTCGCTGTACCCACACCGTCGATAGCGTCCATCACTGCCGCAAGGTGAGCCATCTTCTCAAACTTAAACGGTTCACAAAGACCACCATACCCGTGTTGCCCGCCGAAGTCTTCGACAGGCCAACCACAAAGTCCATACTCATTAATTGATAACACTCGGAGGGTACAGATAAATTAGCCAGCAGTGAAGCCGCATTCGAAGATGATTTCATAAATCGACATGTTTCACACGTGCGCACATATGTGCTGTTCATTTGTACAGCTTGAACCACCAGTAGTGGCTACTCACAGGGCTGTACGTTCTCTCACGACCGAGATGACCGCTGAGTGGGTGTCTTAGGTCGCATAGAGAATACA